CACCTTTACTCAGAGAGGCTACTGGCACCTGGGAGGGTTTGCCCATCCTGGATTTACCACTTGCTTTGCTCACTACAAACAACCAAACGTCGATTGGAAGGTCGCTACCTGGCTGGATGACCGCTACTCATCACTCAGGTTCAGACGGTAGCGCCTCCTGCCTTCTGCGACGTCTATGGTACCCATTTGCGTAAAACACAAGACCCTCCACACTGAAACCTGGTATCTGTGGAGTTAAGGACCCGATCGTACGTCAGCTTTTGTACCCAGTCATCTTACTTTTATCTTGACAATTTGACGTTAGGTTGACGCAGCGTACTTGGGGTGTGGATGGAGCTGTCGTTTGCGGCGGTTGATCTACCAGTGTTTGTTTCCATGTCTTATTTAGGTCAGACTTATGCCTTTTGACCTAAGCATCTCATACCTGTTATTTATAAATAGCTTCTTTTTGGCACCTTAGGATTGGGGGCACGGTTGGTGCAATCGCAACCTGTCCATTAGAATTGGTAAAAGTGCGCCTGCAATCATCTCAGGGTAGCAAGTTCTCAACTTATGGTCGTCGACCTGGCTCGAAATTTGCTTTGAAGACCTCTCTAGTGAGTCCCTGTCTGTGCGAAGGCCGACTTTTTTGGATTACTTCACAGCACTCTATGCACGCCAACTATACACAACTTACTGTATTGTTGTAGGTCCCAGAAGTAACCCACCTTCCGGTGAGGTTTCATCCCTCGGAGGCGGCATCGTGTTGCACCGTCTCCTCTCGCCTTTTCTACCGTTCAAAGATCCTTCGATGCATGTGCGACGTTATCCGAAAAGAGGGCGTTGGAGCTCTTTTCAAAGGGCTTGTGCCTACTCTGGTTGGCGTCCTTCCATCTAGGTGAGTTAATTCTACTCCCTGTTACTTTGTTCGGTCCTGTCACCTAGACGTGGTAGTTGATGTCAACCAGCCAGCGTTCTCCCAGTCCCCTGCTTTGATATCGCTGGGTTCGCATTCGAACACTGATTACTGAACCTAAAGTCCGACACGCTAACGATAAGCCACTGGCCAACTGGGTGCGATCAGGAATATTCACAATTGTTCATCAAAAAGCTTCCTTAACATGTTCCTCCCATTGTGCCGTGGGGCTCAGTTTAGAACCTTTGTTTCGTTTTGACGTCTCTACCTCTGTATCCAGCAGTCACGCGTACTTCAAACCCAATAATAACAACTGTCAGGGCAGTACGGTACTATTAAACAAATAGTAAAGGATAATCAAACCTCAACAATGGATACACCAAGTCAAGAGCGAAGAGAGTTTGGCCAAATCGTCTGACTCTATACAAGGGAACAACGCAAGTTCAGCAATAACGCCACGCAGGGCGAAACTAGTCGTCGAAAAGCTTGTGTGTGTGTGTGTGTGTGTGTGTGTGTGTGT